AAGTCAATCACTGCTAATCAACCTCAACCTACACAAACATGTGAATCTACCAGATAAAGAGCTCAAACTTGCAGCAGCATCAGCAGCAGCATCATCAGCAGCAGCAGCATCAGCAGCAGCTCACTGTCATCTGCACGACACACTTTAGGAGCTGCTAAATGATGACGGGACATTTCCCAGCATCGTGATATTCAAGGGTTGACCAAAACAATTAAAAGTGTCTTAGAAAGATGAGCAGTCTGAAACCCCGACAGGGTACATTCCTTAAACGCTGTCTTTCATTTTAAAAAGGACATTTTTATTATTAAGGTTTATTATTATTTATTGTTGCATTCAGCATTAAATAAAGTTGTCAGAAATGTCTTTGAACCCTGACACCACAACCATGAAACCATTTATGACCACTGGGTTTATATCTTGTAATAATAATAGGAAAAGTATCTTATTAGCGATCATTCAACATCTCAACACCTCCAACCAGTGAAACTCAACCCACACCACGGTCCCAACCCCGATTCGTTTACTGCAGGCTGCACCGTAAATGTGCTTTTGAAACACCATCGACACGTTTCATTTACCGGTAAACGCCGTTTACAAAAGCTGCTTTATCTTTTTAAAATGGTGCAATAAACAAACATGTTGTGTGAAGTTGGAGCCACATTTGTTTTGTTGCTCATATCTCTCCAGTTTTAATTTCTCTCTGTAGGAGCCTAAACTAAATTTTGCAAAGATTATATGTATAACTGAAGCTACTTGTTTTATGTGTAGATCTTTGATGGCTTGAGGTTGGTCACATGTTTATTTAAGTCATGTGATGTGGGTGGGGCGTGGCAGGAGAGAAAGTCCAGACAGACTAGTTGGGGAGTGAAGCCAAACAGTTTATTGACCTCCATAGCTCTTTTTCTGTTTATGGATAAGTTGTTTTTGCTTACTTTTTTTGCTGTACATGTTTCATTTTTAAGTAAACCTTTAAACACAAGCCACTGAGAATAATTATTTTTTCTGAACAAGAATTATGCCGGAGGCCATGGGAGCGTCAGGCTCAGGTTTCACTCAATAAGAATTTACACTCTCCATTGGCTCCTTGTTCAATTCAGAATAGAATTCAAAATCTTACTTATAACCTACAAAGCCATCAACAACCTAGATCCATCTCACATTACAGATCTTAATGTTCCATATTTTCCTAACAGAGCACTTTGCTCTCAGACAGCAGGTTTATTTGTGGTTCCTAGAGTTTCCAAAAGCAGAATGGAAGGAAGCTCTTTCAGTTATCAGGCTCCTCTCTTGTGAACCAACTTTCAGTTTCTGTCCGTGAGGCTGACACATAGTCCAGTTTTAAGACTTTCCTTTTTGATAAATCCTATAGTTAGGGTCAGCTTGGGTTTCCTGTGCTATCCCTTAGCTATTGGCTTAAACTGCTGGAGGACAAATTGACCACATTTCCTCACTCCTACTCTCCATGTTTACATCAGTTCAGGTCGTTAATCTGTTTGATTTTCTTCCTAAAGACACTACAACTGGTGTCCATGTCTCCTTCCTGTCCTCTCAACGCTGTTGCGTTTTGGGAGCTGACTGCGGGTCATCAGTCACTGCAGCTAGCTACGGCAAGCTGTGGGCCTCAGGCTTCCTCTCTGACCCTGGACCCTCAGCCAGCCCCCACCGCTTCCTCTGGTTCTATCTCTCTCAGAAGTGGCAACTTGTTCAGGTGAGTACTCTGCATTGGCCATGATCGTATAGTGGTGAGTACTCTGCGTCTTGGCCGCAGCAACCCCGGTTCGTATCCGGGTCACGGCACCAACTGTTAAAGACGGGAGCAGGCTGCGGACCACCGGATCCGGAAACCCCCTCCAGTCCATGTCTTTACCCCCGGCTCGAACTTCCCTCAGAAGTGGCAACTACACTAATCAATAAATCAAGGAAAAGTCAATTAAGTTTTATCAATTATATTAGAGAAGGCAGGAAAAGATTACAATTCACAGTGCTGGACTCTACAGTCTGTGACGCGTTCACAGACCTGGAAGAAGAGCCTCGATGTCTCGTCTCATTACTCCTTTATAGGGTCCTAGACTCCGCCTTTGCAGAAGGGGAGCTCAGCCTATCAGTGTATGAGGGGGCGTGGCTAAATGTGGTCTTATGTGGACTGACGTGTTAGGAAATATGAGACGGTGCTTCAAAGCCTTTCTACGTGATGTGGTAAGCAGATTAAACTATTTGACTGATATTGAAATCCCAGGGAGACTCTCTTTAGAGTTTGCTGGCCCAGTTTAACCCAGTCAGAACCAGGTCATAATTTCATTATAATCCCGTCTCTGAGCAGATCAAAACCATAGGACCAGTCTAGATTAAAAATATCTTAACAACTCCCAACCAGTTATGGCAGATTTCCACAAATTCTGAGCATGTTTCTGTTAGACGGTTGTTCCTGTTAAAAGGGAGTCATTCCTTTCCACTGTCACCTCCATGCTGCTCAGGATGGGAGGTTGTGACAAAGTGAAGATTTCACAAAATCCTTGAATTTCTTGGATTGATCATTTTTATTAATTGGAATTTCATAACAAACAGGTCAATGTGTTGTAAAACCTCAAACTTGAAAAATGTGGGGGCATCCGCAAATCGTTGCATTCTTCATAAAATCAATGTTTATTTATAATGGAACATAGTAAATAATATCAAATGTTTAAACTAAGAAATTTTATCTTTCAAAAAAATATTAAGGTATTATTTATAAATAATGGGAGCAACACATTTAAAAAATGTTGGGACAGGTCCATGTTTCCCACTGAGCTTTACAACAGTTTCTAGGACCTGAGGAGACCAGTTGTTGGAGGTTTTGGAGGGAATTTTGTCCTATTCTATTTTTTTTTTAATCATTATGAATTAATTTCAACTGGTGAAAGATCTTGACTGCAGGCAGATTAGTTCACCACTTGGACTCTTCTACTTCCATCTTCTATCTTGCCTTGCTGTTGTAATGGATGCAGTGTGTGGTTGGACATTGTCTTGCTGAAATCAGCAAGACCTCTGAAAAAGACACAGTCCGAATGGGAGTATATACAGTTCTAAAACTTGTATATATTGCTTTGATGGATCTTTTCCATAAGCTGCACATTCCAGAGGCACTAATGCACCCTCATACCATCAGAGAGGCAGGTTTTTGAACAGTGCACTGATAACAGGCTGAATGGTCCCTTTCCACTTTAGTACAGAGGACAAGGTGTTCATAGCTCCAAAAAGAATTTCAAATTTGGATCCAGCTGACCTCAGAACAGTTCCTCAGTCCATTTGAAAGCTTTGGTTCACAACGGTGGTGTTTCTGTTCATGGGCAACCTTTAGTTTTATTGCAAACACTCTCTGAAGGAAGAGCATTAACAACATTTGTCTTCATTGAATTCTGTTGTAAAACCCTTCACCTCCCACCACAACACCAGTGTTATTAGTTCGTGACATGTTGCCACACCAGACACAGAACGAGTCAATCAGCTGACCGGAGCACATTTCCTGCCTCCCATGCTCGACGCTAATTTTAAACCAGTGTAATGCGTAACATCATCCAGGCTGCGTGGAGGCCGTCTGGAACGCCATGTTAAAGTGTTAACGGTCAACAGGTGGGAGAGCAGAGCAACATGGGAAGAACGGGACACCCCTGAGCAATGGTGTGAACCTCGGCAGGAGTTTGTTAGATTAAACAGTTAGGACTCTTGAGCTCGCTAATTAAGAAAGATTTTGAAAAACAGGAGACGAAATGAACAAAAAGCAGCAGTTGAGAACTTATGCACACCTGTTCTATTTTAGCCGTCACATAGCAACAAAAAAAAGGAAAGTCAATAAAATGTTTACGAGGTGTTTGGTCATATGGTGAGTGTAGGCTAAATGTGTCTGATGGGGGGCAATGTCAAGTCAAAGTCAGGGGGTTCTAAACTGAATGAGCTGTTAGTGTTTGCAGCAATTTGTCACTTTCTTTTGCAAAAAAATTAATGTATCAGGTAATTTTTGGATAAATGTTTTACCTGCGTCGCTCCTTATTTCACTAACTGAGGATCTCTGAGGGAAATTAGAGCTAAAAGAATCCCAACAATCAGGACTTGATAAAAATCATTTCATGCTAAACGCCACAGCTCAGCTGCTACCACACGGTGTCAATGTGTCACTGTCAATTAGCTGTGGCAGCCATCTTGACTCTTGACTCAAACTGACACCAAATGTTAGTTGTAGACGTGCACCCAGTGACCACTCTCCAAGTGCTTCATTAGAATACATCCAGTGATCTGTGAGATATTTTGCTAACAGACAGATATCGTTGACTCCATCAGTTGTTTGGGACTCTCAGCTACTACTGCATGGAAATGATAACTTCCAGAGAGCTTCGTTAACTGGATTTTTGAAATATGTAGCTAGCGGCGCGGTGGCGCAGTTGGTAGAGCTGCTGCCTCTCAGCGAATAGGTCGTCGGATCAAATCCCAGCACAGTGCCTTTCTGGGTGGAGTTCGCATGTTCTCTCCGTGCATGCGTGGGTTTCCTCCCACAGACCAAAAACATGCATGTTAGGCTGATTGGTAACTCTAAATTGTCCCCAGGTGAGGGAGAGAGTGAATGGTTGTTTGTCTTGTTTGTCTCCATGTGTCCCTGTGATGGACTGGAGACCTGTCCAGATGTCCCCTGCCTCCCACACATTGATAGCTGGACATGGGCACCAGTGACCCCCGCGACCCGAAAAGGAAAGAGCGGGTAAAGATAATGGATGGATGGACGGATGGAAATATGTAGCTAACACAACAAACACACACAGGCAGTGGTGTAGTCGACATTTTTGTAGTGGGTATACTGCGGTAAAGTTAGTTTTACATTGGACGTTGGACACTGTTGAAGCCACGAAGCACGAATGTCGAACGTCCAACATAAAGCTAACTATACCACCACGGTCGGTCCCTATACTGTGCTTAGAAACCAAAGTATGCTGGAAAGCGCCTCCGGAGCAACTGGGGATAGGGTGTCATGCTCAGAGACACCACGGGATGTGCAATGGCCGGGGATCAAAACCGGGACCTTCGGGTCCCAAGTCGGCTGCCCTGCCCCTACACCATCAAAAACATGTCATAGAATTTATAAAACAGCATCAAAGCCAAACATGTTCAACATTAAGTAATAAGTACAGAAGTATTAATTATACAATAATTTGCTTGTTAAGCGAATGTAATAAACAAGCACCACCGATAGATTGTTACAGAAGCATTTAACTGCCGTTTAACGTATCGATGACATGTGCCCAAGATATGTCATGTATCATTGGGCACTTTTAAGTGGGTATACTGAAATTCTTAAGCTTATCTAGTGGGTATACTCCGTACACCCGCGTATCACGTAGACTACACCACTGCACACAGTCAATGACATTATTACCCTTTACTGAAATGTGGAATGAAACTAGTCACTAGGAAGCACAAGCCAGTCTGTCTCTTGTGCCAGTCCTAAGCCCAGGTACATGGTGAGGGTTGTGTCAGGAAGAGCATCTGACGTAAAACACTTTTGCCAAAACTATAATGTGAGTTCATCTGACTATGATGTTTGCAGATGACATTATGATTTACGGTGAGAACAGGGAACAGGTGGAAGAGAACAGGAATGAAAGTCAGTCGTAGTAAGACAGAGTCCATGTGTAAGAATGAGAGGGAGGAGGTGGAACAGTGAGGCTACAAGGAGCAGAGGTCACAAAGGTGCAGGACTTCAAGGACTTGGGGTCCACTGTCCAGGAAAATGGAGAACGTGGTAAAGAGGTGAAGAAAAGAGTCCAGGCAGGATGGAGTGGATGGAGAAAAGTTTCAGGAGTGATTTGTGACAAAAGGGTGTCAGCAAAGGTCAAAGGAAAAGTTTACAAGACAGTGGTGAGACCAGCTCTGTTGTATGGTCTGGAGACAGAGACATGGACAAAAAGACAGGAGACAGAACTGGAAGTGACAGAAATGAAGATGTTGAGGTTCTTAGGAGAGACAAGGATGGAAAAGATCAGGAATGAGATCATCAGAGGTACTGATACTGGTTACGCTGGCTCAAGTTTAGACTCCTGAACCAGTTTCAGGGTTACTCCATGTGCGCTGGTGTGAAAATGCAACATTATCCATCTGCAGCCTGCAAGATTTCAAATTACTCTGACATTAAGTTACCTTCACTTACAGTTTGCCCAGGCTGCAAATTGATCTAATGATGTTAGGATTCCAAAACAGCAAATAAAATTAAAGAGCTATAAAATGATTTCTACAAGTTCGTTCAGGATTACAACACTGGTTCTGCAACACTGCATCTCCGATGATTACCAGTATGTTGTTCTGGAAGCCTCCTGTTTGTATCCATATCTAATGGTGTGTGGATTTTTGTTATAACGAAAACTAAATAAAACCAATCATCCCCTCTGAGCCCAGGGGATAATGGTCCAAACCAGAGATCACTCTCATGGTAATTAACACCTTACTGAACACGGCTGTCTGGGAAACCCATTAGGAACTACTTTGGGACTAATGCTTCACTTCAAAGCTTTATAATTACGTAAAAATAAATGATGGTGACAAAAGTAAGACTCATCCTTTTTAAGTAAAATGTTTCCCATTTGTTGATGTGCTCCTCTGAATCTCCGCAACCGGGCATGTTTTTTTTTCTTTAGTGGTCAATTATATGTGGTTTCAAAAGATGGATGGATGGATAGATGAGCCAATTGATGGATGGATGGATGGATGAGCCAATTGATGGATGGATGGATGGATGGATGAATGGATGAATGGACTAATGGATGGATGTACCAATGAATAAACGGATGAGTGGATGGATGGATGGGTGAATGGATGGATGGGTGGATGAACCAATGGATGGATGAACCAATGGATGGGTGGATGGATGAACCAATGGTTGGATGAACCAATGGATGGATGGGTGGATGGATGGATGATGGCTGAGTCAATTGATGGATGAATGAGCCAATGGATAGATGGATGTACCAATGGATAGATGGATGTGTGGATGGATGGATAGGTGGATGGACCGATGGATGGATGGGTGGATGGATCAATGGATGGATAGATGGATGGATAGATGAATGAAGCA